ATTTTTATTTTTTTAAAAGGTATTTGACATTTCTTTCTATGTTTTTTTTTTTTAAGATTTTATTTATTTATTTGAGAGAGAGAATGAGATAGAGAGAGAGAGCATGAGAGGGGTGAGGGTCAGAGGGAGAAGCAGACTCCCTGCCGAGCAGGGAGCCCGATGCGGGACTCGATCCCGGGACTCCAGGATCATGACCTGAGCCGAAGGCAGTCGCTTAACCAACTGAGCCACCCAGGCGCCCTCTTTGTTTCTTTTTTTTAAAATGTATTTATTTGTCAGAGAGAGAGAGAGAGCACAAGCAGGGGGAGTGGCAGGCAGAGGGAGAAGCAAGCTCCCCACTGAACAAGAAGCCTGATGCGGGACTCGATCCAGGACCTTGGGATCATGACCTGAGCTGAAGGCAGATGCTTAACCACCAGTTGTCCCCACATGTGATTTTAGAGCCAAATTCTAGGGCACCAGCTTAGTGTTCCAGCCCACCTATAACAAAGTATGGCTCAGAAGCTGATGGAGAGTATATTCTTATGTTTTTCAACACCTCCCCACCCCCATCCCTTTCCCTCATTCCCTCAATCCTCTACCCACCCACCCACCCAGAGAAGACTCTTGTGCAGCAACATTGGAGCTCTTCCACAGAAAATGGAAGTACACAGGAGGGACTCTTCTTAGAGAGAGGCCCAGAGCAGGGACCTGTGAGGCATTGAGGAAGGGGCCAGGGACAAAGAACATCAACTGACTTGTTTCTGAGCATACATGAGCTCCCCACAGGACTTTTTGGAAATAGAGAAGACCTTACAAGGGAACTTGTGTTCCTAGATAATTTAGGTGTTAAGATTGCTGTTCCCTCATTGGTCCTCCTGTGCTGATGAGCCTTAGAACTATCTAGTTATAAGGGTAACTGGCAAAGACAATCCATTCCACAAACTTTTCCCAAGTGCTTCTAGGTCTGCAAAATGGAAGCATTGGATGAGATGATCCCTAAAATTCTTTTTGGCTCTAACAAACTATGAACCCATAATTAATTTTCAGCTGGACCCCAAATTGGGAGAGGAGGAGCAAATGCTTTTATACTGATTATGATTCTATGAAGAAAAACCCAAGGCCAGTGGGAAGAAAAATGGAAAGTGATGTGGCTCAGGGCTAAGCAATCATCTAGAAAGTTCACATTTTTAATTGCTTCTCAGCCTTTTGGCTAAGATCAAGTGTAGAAAGTTAGCATTTTTGAAACATAACATGACTAGAATGTTTTGTTTCTATTTCTTTATCAAGAAAATTCTAACATAACCGAGGAAATCATGATTATAACCCTTCTTCCTGGGGCCCCCTGCCCTAGCCTGGCATCTCTAATGCCTGCATTGGTTTCAGGCTACTGGGTCTCCAACCTCTGGAGATGAATATGAAATAAATATTGTGGAAGTTATTATTCTCTTTTCTTAGTGATGAGTACCTCAAGAATCCCCCTAGATGTTAAATAGATGGAGTATGAATTACCTGTAGGAATAAGAAGATAGACATTCCTTGGAAGATACGGAAGGGTTTCATATGGCACACTCAAGCAATAGCAAGCAGTTTTATATGATGGTGCTGCATGACTTTGCACACATGATATTAAGAAGGAAGAAGAAAAAGATGTGATCATCTAATGAAAGGCTGGAGTAATATGTTGGCTGGCCAAGACATTTGATTTTATCATGAGGATAATAAAGAGTTGCCAAATCAGTTCAGATGGGAGAGTAACTTATTCCTCGAAAGAATTATGAAAAATAAGGTGTCCTTAAACTGATAGTCCATTTGCCAATAGTCCTAATGCCAAAGGTGACCTCCAGAAGCGATTCCCCCTTAACAGCATCTTACTGTGCAGTGGTCCTCATCCTTAAGTTCTCATCATCACAGTTATCACTTGAGAGCGTTAAAAAACCCTAATGGGGGGCGCCTGGGTGGCTCAGATGGTTAAGCGTCTGCCTTCTGCTCAGGTCATGATCCCAGGGTTCTGGGATCAAGCCCCACATCGGGCTCCTGACTCAGCGGGGAGTCTGCTTCTTACTCTCCCTCTGCCTCTCCCACTGCTCATGCTCTCTCTCTCTCTATCTCTGTGTCTCAAATGAATAAATAAAATCTTTTTTTTTTTTTTAAGATTTTTATTTATTTATTCATGAGAGACAGAGAGAGAGAGAGGCAGAGGGAGAAGCAGGCTCCCAAGGAGCAGAGAGCCCGATGCGGGACTCGATCCCAGGACCCCGAGATCATGACCTGAGCCGAAGGCAGACGCTTAACCATCTGAGCCACCCAGGCGCCCGAATAAATAAAATCTTAAAAAAAAAAAAAAAAAACCCTAATGGCCCAGCTCTACCCCAGTCCAATTAAATCAGAATTTCTAGGGCTGCGACCCAGACATCAAGGATAATTTAAAGCTCCCAGGTGATAGCAAAGCACAGCCAAAGTTGAGAACTGTTGAGCTAGTAGTATTCCAGAAAGCTGGTAGAACTGTTTGAGTTCACTCTCTTGTATACCCTGCTGAGTTTCAGCTCACCTTTGCCATCCATTAAGGATTTACTGAATCCTGTTCCTGTCAACTTTCATTCTATATTTCTGAAGAAGGGCCTCCCAGGGAATTACATGGGAGTTTTCTCCCTCAAGTTGATGATAATTTATTGTTGGAGGCAGAAAAATTAACCAAACATTATAATGTGGTAAGATAGTTACTCTGATGATACTCCTTGCACAGACTGCTGTGGAAGGGACACTTACATTCAGAAAGGGAAAAGGAGGTGAGGCGTGAAGGAAGAGCAGTATTGAGGTAGAGTATAGGGTCCCAGGGATCAAGGGCAAGAGGGTTATTCTAGGAAGAGAGATCAGAATGTGGAAGGCAAGGAGGCAGAAACATAAATATTAATGGGAATATATTCATAAGATGAACTGAAACCAGAAGTTATTCTCATGAAAGTAATATTAGTCCAAAAGTCTCAGTGGTGTCTAAATCCTCTTCACCTCCTAATCTGACTTAATACCTGATTTTCCCTGAACACTCTCCTAAATGAAGTGACTTCCTTTGGTCAACATCCTAATCAATATGATCACATCTCTCAAATTTTATCCCTCACTTTGAAGTCACACTTTGACTCATAAGGAATTTCCACCCTTCCTTACAGCTGTTGAGAGGGCAGCCCTAACAAGAGGAAGTAGCCTTGTATGCTGTCCCCACTTCCTTCCTGTGGCTGTGTCATTCCTGAGTCTGGGTCATCCAGCTGCATCCAGGAGTCTCAAAGGATGCAGTGAAAATGAGTCTAGGTCATGACCTCTCTCCAAAGCCATATCTTCTAGCTTTTATTTGTATTAAAATTAATCAGAAAGTCCAAGAACTGACATCGTCAAAACTAACAGCAGTAAAAAGTATTTATGATGAATGTATTGTATATCTTTATTTCAAGGTTCTCACCATTTTGTGCAGTTTTCTCACTAGATTTTACAAAAATTATTAAGGTAGAAAAAAGTAGATGGTATTTCCCTCATTTGGATAGATAAATTGTGACAAAGATGCTTTCTTAAAAATTTTCTGGAACAAATGTTGGTGGGATTTTTTCTTTTTCTTTTTTTTTAAGATTTTATTTATTTATTTGACAGAGAAAGAGATAGCGAGAGCAGGAACACAAGCAGGGGGAGTGGGGGGGGGGGAAGCAGGCTTCCCGCCAAGCAGAGAGCCCGATGTGAGACTCGATCCCAGGACCCTGGGATCATGACCTGAGCCGAAGGCAGATGCTTAACGACTGAGCCACCCAGGCGCCTGGGGGGACTTTTTCTTAAGCAAGTAGAAACATTCCCAATAGGTACATGTTGAAAAAAATGGACACATATCTCATTTACTCTATTAGAAAAGGACACTTAAGGGTTGCAAGTGATAACAGCTTCATTTGATGTTGGTCCAGGGAGTTCTAAGCAAGATGACTGGATTGAGTTAATATTCAGTTAATACTCTTCTTAAATTTGCCACTATCACTTCAAGAAAGCTAGTCTTGCCTTTATTAAATATATAGAGAGAGCTCTATAGCCGTCCTCTTGGCTTCATGTTTGAGCTTTATCACTTTGAATATCTCAAATATATTCCATTCCTTATTTCCATGAGGTTCATTGGGTTCATTCATCCATTTCTTTATTCTCTCCACATCCCCCCACCATGTTTCACAAATATCTCTTAACTCCACAGTCCTTTAAAGTGCTCTGATTTAAGCCACATTTTGTGGTTCTTGAACTCCTGTTTGAGCACAACAAATAAATAAACATAAATGGTGTAGAATCAGTTGCAGAAAATGCCTTAAGATAAGACTGTAAACACAACTATGTAAAAATGTCTTAGGTTTATCTTTTCCAGATATGCCAATCTCAGGGCAGAGGTGGGTGAGGAGAGAGCTTTTGTGACTGCTTTCTCTGAGATTCAAAACATAAGAAAATACATTGTGATGTTCAGTTCCAAGGCAAGTGATAAAGATCAAACACTCATTTTATTACAATATTTTCATTTTTATTGACCAGATTCACTTTGGATCTTGCTTGCATTTGGAATGTTTACTTTTTAATAAGCGATCTGTTTAAATGTGGATCAGAGAACAAGGGTTTCTGTTTTACAGTTCAACTTTTGACCTTGGGGGATGAATGGGTGGAGGCTAAGAGGAAAAGTCCACTGTGTTTCTACTGAACTTTTTACCCTTAAAAAAAAAAAAAAGAGCAAGTTTAAAGTTCACACAGTGCACAAGAGGTCTCCGCTGGGGATTTCTGGTATTATTAACTTCCTGACCTCAGATAATTAAAAAGAAAGAGCAGAGCCACCTCAGACTATGACTCAACTTTGAACTTTTAACCTTCCAAGTAAAGTATTTAAATTGTAAATGGTAGACCCTGGAAGCTTTCTTATTGCTATTAACTTCCTTCATCTCTGGTCACAAAGTTATAATTTAGGCCAAAAGCATGGCCCGAACTTTCCTTTTTATTTACTTAACCTCTTTTAGCAGAAAGAATTGAGAACTCTCTTTACCTAGAAATGACAGGTATTCGGAAGAAATAAGTAAAGCCTGAAGTGTCATCGCATCTTGGAGTGAGAAGCAACCCTCAACGATCTTTCTAGCCTGCTCAGTTGTGAAGGAGAATAGTGAGAACCAGGGAGGTGAGTGATTTCCTTAAGGTCAGACAATTAATAGGAGAACAAAAAGCATCCCTGATTCATTAGCTGTACTTGTTTTAGTGGTGGAGGGATTCAAACATGACTGGGGGGAAGGACTATTTCCATATGCAGCAAAGGGGTCGAGATTGTTACATTAAAATTCATAAAATGGAAAAAAATCACTGGATCGGGAGTCAAGAGGCCTGGGTCCTAGTGACCCCTTTACTCTATTGATGGTATAATCTTAGGAACTCATTTAACTTTTCCAGCCATAATTTGCGTGGTTGTAAAATGGAAGGTAGTTGGGAGGAGGTGATCCAAGACTGTTCTGTTAGAACATTTTCGGTTCGAGAATCCTTGCTACGATGCATGTTTAAGCACTGTATAGACATACAATTCTCAGCAACAGCTGAGTTTTCTTAACACGGAGGATAGCTCTAGATGACTGTGACTTGCGGGTAATTGGCATATCATGCGGGGCTTGACACTGATGATGAGGCTCTCCTTAAGAATAGACAGAAATCCCAAAGGAAAAGAGGAATATCATGTAAAGAGGCATAAGGGACAGGGAGGAGAACAAAAGAACTGGGACAAAGAAAGGAGCGATGGGTGGGGGGGGGGAAGGCATTAGAAATGAAGGTGAGAAAGTGACGGTAGCCCCTCAAGCCCCCTCAGTTGGAGGGGACCCAGCCAATGCTTGTGATACAGAGAAAGTCAATGAGTACGTGGTGAATCTGCCAGAGCCACATGCTGTTAATACCCATGCTTAGAGAGGCTGTTCTCCCTGGCACTTGAAAAACACACGGAGCCTGCTGGAGAGCCAGTCTTCCTCGGGGCCCACTCTTCCCTCCTGCTGTTTGCTAACACCTTTATTGCCTCCAGTTAGTTACTCACAGCACTCTCATTCCCATCTGTCAAGGAGAGTTCCCTTCCAACATTCTGTCCTTCTTTTCCTATACAAAAGAGACCCTCCCAGTGTGCCTGCCCAGCACGGGAGTTGGTACTGAGCTGGATGTGGCAAGTTTGGAGGGGGGTGAGTCACAATTTTCTTGCTTCCTGGTCCCAATAAGCAAGGGAGAGGTGACTGTAGGATCCTGCCTGAGACCCTCTGACGGAGCCAGCTGGAGGGGAGGGAGAGCGTGATGGCTGTCTGGCCCGAGGCTGTGTGCTTGGCCTGGAAGCAGAGGGTCCAGGGTCACTGTCTGGTTCAAGTGCTAACAGCTGTATTTGACTCCCATCCCATCACAGATGTTTACCCACCCAACTCCTCAGCCCCTCTCAGCTGCTTTCAACTAATTTACTTCTCCTTTACCACCTCCTTTGGTCCTTCTACCCCTCCACCGGCCCCTGGCGATTAATATTTGAGCAAGGGACTGCACTGATGTGAGGATGCCTGAATAGGCGATTAAAGTTGCAAACCTGGGGTGCCTGAGTGGCTCAGATGGTTGGGCATCTGCCTTCAGCTCAGGTCATGATCTCTGGGTCCTGGGATGGAGCCCCACATCAGGCTCCTGGCTGGCTCCTAGCCTGCTTCTCCCTCTCCCTCTGCCTCTCCCCCTGCTTGTGTGCTCTCTCTCTCAAATGAATAAATAAAATCTTAAAAGGAATAAATAAATAAAGTTGCAGACCTGTGGGCTGCAAATAACTATCAGTCCCAGGTTTTGGTGGGCAAAATCACCCAGTTTTTTCTCTGTTCAGTAAGCCCTATTGATTCGCTAAATTTCTCCCACATTTTCTAGTCTTGAATGCATTCCTTCCTGGGTAGATGTCCCAAGTACAGTCATGTTAACCTCAAGATCCCCTGAGGAAGGAGGTCACAGGTCACCAAGCAAAGCATGACTGTCATCATGAAATAAGTAATACTGCCTCATTGGCACTTACCTTCGTCATCATCTAGAAAGGAAATAAATAAAGGACTGGATCTTGTCCACCAACTACCCCTGCAATGGAAAACATTACAATGCAAACAAGATATATTGCGCTTGTGAAACTTAAAAATAAATAAATAAATAAAGGTTTATGCCACTATTCTCAATGATGGGCTACAGCAAATTCTAGGTGGCTCGATTCAGGGAAGTGATGATAATTTTATTTTTTCAAAGTAATTTCCTTTTTTTTTTTTTTTTTTTTTTTAATTTTCTGTACCTTAAGGCGATGGGAGAAGAACAGAGGGTTAAGCACAACCCAGAGAGTCCGTGATAAATAATTCAGTATGTGAGTTGTCTGCAGTGAAGACTCTCCTCAACCAGGCCCACTAACCCCCCCTGCAGGTGGGAGAGTCTGAGCGCTCCCAAGGGCCGCCAAGCCTCTCCCCCGCCCGGCTCCGCCCCATTTCCCAGCTGCTCCGGCCCCTCCGTAGGTTAACCGAGAGCGGTGTGCGGTAAGTGGCCTTTGCCGATGCTAACTACACCCCCACAGTCCCAACTCAGCTGAAAAGCTAAGACCTTGCCTCCAGAGGCAGCCAAAGGCTGATGCATTCTCTGCAGTCGTCTGTCGTCCCTGGCAATATTGCCTCTTTCGGCACGAACATTTGAATTGGCACCGACACTGAGGAAGAGACTGGAAAACCACACCAGCGAAAAAGCCCTCTTCTTTGTTTCCTTCCTCCATGCAGTTAGGTAAAATAGATCCCCTCTCTTTGTCTGCTATTACTTCTTTGGTTTGATGTGCCCAGCTGGCAAGCATAAGTCAACTTGTGGTCATTAAATTTAGTCGAGTATCCTCACAAGCGCCAGGCGCTCCGGAGCCCTTGGTGGAGCTTGGTCAGGCAAGACAGCAGTCGTTGTACAGCGGGGCACCATGGAAGTGGGAGGCTGGGCACCGAGGGAGCTGCAGTCTTCTGCCTTCTTTTCGCCGGCAGCTCCGAAAGTGAACTAGCATCTAAATTAGGCGCTCTTTTAGATTACGGTGTGTCGCACCTAACGAAGGAACGCCATCAGGCAGGCAGATGCCAGTGGGAGATTGGTTGGTATCTAGGGATGGCAGTTGTTGCCCCATTTATTTATGCAATCGTCAGTCAAATGACATGTATCACGGCCATCACAAAGACATGTCAATCTCTGGACACAGGGGTCTTCTGGTGATCTCTGAGATAGGAAAGAGCAAGTTAGGAATGATCACTGCTTAATGCCTGTTTATCGAGGACATGGGCAGAGGGCATGCTCCCAGAGACGCTCCGACATTTCGTGGCCTATGGAAAAACTAGATTTGATTCTTCTTGTCGAGGGCCAGAGAGACCGATCCACTTTACTCCTGAGAGGAAAAGTAAGAGGTTCCCTATAACTTTATGGTAGCCATATGGATGGTCCTCCCTTTTACCTCCTACCGCCTTGAATTGAGAAAGATACAGTTGGGCCAAAATTTTACTAATTGTTGTATTGAACGTCTACCAAATGCAAGGTATAATATGGGATAAAGGATAAATTAAACATGGGGCATACCTGATCCAAAAGGAGAAAAACCTTTTCATACATAATTGTAACAGAATAATTCTGGAAAAGGCTGTATGAGAAAATGATCAGTCTGTGGTAAGTTGTTTATGAGACTACCAGAGAGAAAAATTATTCCTTGGACATAAAAAAATAGGTATAAACATACACTGAAAATAATAATAATATAGTATTTTTTTAATCAGAGGTTCTGCTTTATAAATACTGGCAACCAATTAAGACAAGAATGCTAAAAAGATGGATTAAGTTCATGTAGTAAATAATAATTCCTTAGGCTCTCGAAAATGGTAGTGTTTGGAGGTTTTTTTTAAGTGAAAGATTCCAGGAAGCCAGAGACTTCTGGGTAATGTTTAAATCATTGGGAATTGATCTGACATTTAATGGCAAAATGTTGACTCTCTAATGCCGGAACAAGGTCAATGGGTCAAGGGACCTCCATTACCTAACCTTAGCTGTTCTCTTTACATGACATATCAGAGTATTGATCAGGGCTGTTATGCGGGATTGGTCATAGAGTTCTGTATCCTTACTATAGTGTTCTTAAAAACTGGGTCTAGCCAATATATTATATTCTACTATGATCTGCATTTTTGTGTGGTCCCAGTGAAGGGGGCTTGCTCTGTTGCTCTGTTTCTTGTTTATCCTCCTACTTTGATTTGTCTGTACTCCCTGGACAAAACTTAAGTCTTCTTCTGAATGTTCTGTATCCAGGGTTCATTCACTGGTGGTCTTAACATTCTCTAGGATTCCACACTATATTTTGCCTTCAAACTTCATTGATCTTCCAAACTCAGTGACACTACCAAAATGCTAGTCAGTTTTGATGTTCTTAGAGCTATGACATTGGATGATTGAAGTCAGCTTCATACTGGCTAGTCATTATATTTGATTATGGAAATGTTGGGCACTGACTGGTTTCATAGGCTCAAACTCCTTCTTAGATTTGAACAATGAAAGAATAATTCAATTTAATTTCTAACACTGTAGTATATAACACTTAACTTTTCCAGTTTTTAAAATTCTCTCATTTTATTCTCATAACACATATGTGTATAATAATTCATAAAAGAACCCTAACATTTCATCAAGCAAATACATTTCCACTGCGGATGACTAATGTAAGCCAATGTAAGTTTGTTCTCCAAAGGATCCAGGACAATTGATCCTTGAACCTTTATTGTATCCTCATGGATCTTAAGACATGAAAAGGTTTAGAGGCTAGGGTGGAGATTGCAAGTTGTCCACCCAACTCTGTGTTCCACTGCTTCCATAGTAAGATAGAGTCATAACTGAGACAAAGCTGCCCAGGCATGGACTATATTTTCCCACTCCCTTGGCAGCTAGTTGTGGCCATAAGACTAAGCTCTCTCCAATGAAGTATGAGCAAACGTGATAGATGCCATTCAAGCTTTGCCTTGAAAATTTGCGCGCTCACTCCTATAGCTCATTTGTCTTTCTCACAGCTGAAATAGTGATGATAAGACAAACCTTAGAAGCCACGGGTTGACCGTGGAAGGACCACCCTCATTCTGGGTTGGTTCCTGAATGACTGAGTGGAGCAGAACCCCTTCACTGCCCCCTCACTCAGATTATTACTTGAGAGATAAATCCACTTCTATTTTATTTCAGCCATTATGTTTTCAGGATATTTACTTCAGTAGGTTAGCCTGCTTGGTTGAGATGGATGGCTACTTGATTTTACTAGGGAAAACTTCAAGAGCACTCAAGCCTGGGTTGGTGATGAGACTGAACATTATCAAAACCTGACTTTATTCCCTCTCTCCATCAGATATTTGATGGGGAGGGGGAGGTTAGGAGAACAGGAGAGAAGAATGAAAGAGAGGTAGGTCAAGGCTGGAGGACGCAGTTGTGGAGGCAAGAGTTGTACTACAGAGATGTTTACACATGCTTAGAAATGAGAGGGGAATAAAAATGTCAAAAAAATAGAACCAGAAAAATCTCCCCTCCCCCCCATTTTTTTTAACTACACAAAACCTTTATTGAGTATGCAGAACTCACTGGATATCACGAGCTAATGAATTCTCAGTTCTTCGTGTTTGATTTGCTAATCATTACAGTGAATTAAACACAAAGAATCCAGCAAGGGTTCTAAAAGAAGCACTGCTGAATGTTCACCCTGGACACTGCAGAAAGTAACCTCTGTGTTTTCTTCTTAAATCTTTTCCAGCCAAATTGTGTCTTTTCTCTTTAACACTTGTCACTTAAGTCTTTATCTTAGTAGGTCATCTCAAAAGTCTTGAATGCTAGAATCCAAAAAAAGAGAGAGATAAGCATCACCGAGACATTTATCGATGATACAACTACTTAATATCCTCCAGAGGTGCTCCCACATACACATTCGCACGAATACAGGACCCGATAGAAACTTTAAAGGGATCTCAAAGGAGAAGCCATGAGGGGGAGTGTGTGCAATAACCCACAGTCATCACTGCCCTAATAGTATCTGATCTGAACCTGGCATAGCTTCAGAGAAAGCCATGTGTTCAGGCTAAAACAAGAATGAGAAAAAAAGGAGAACGTTGCTTTCTTCTAATGTGGTAAATAGGGCATGAAGTTTTTATAGTTTGCTGGTAGAACCGGTTTTACAAGTTTTCTGCTTACCCATAGGGCTTAGCCTTAAGGGAGAAAAAATATTTTTTATTCAGGAAATATCTTAAGACTTCTGGTAGAGTGTTTATGTTCGGTATACAGAATAAAGATCTATATTAGTGTTGTTGTGCCTACATGTCTTGGGACGAAGTTTGAAACTGAAACTATTACATTTTAAAAGTTTTTCGTGAGTATGCCATACTTGCCACTTCTGTTTCTGACACGAGGAAGTGCTAAAAGAAAGCTTCCTGCTTTTGCATCCTCCTTATGTGTCCCCTTGTTATTAAGTTTTGGTAGATTCCTCATATTCGTTTAAATTGCTCTCCCAGATTGTTTATTTTAAATGTCAGGAAGTGCTCGTTTCATAGATCCAGGTCTTGATCAGTTTGGAGAAGGAATGGCTTTAAATAAGAAATCCCCACAAGGTATCAATGTGTGTGCCCCTCTGGGTGAGCATGTGTGAGAGAGAACCAGGCCCACAGCTAGTGACAGAGAACGTGACACAGGGAAAGGAGACAAAGGAACCTTAAGGCAATAACATGAAATCTTAAGGCCGTAAGATGTTCAACGTGTTATATTTGTACTTTTAGATTTCCTTTCCTTTCAAGTTTCAGTATCTCTCAACAGACTTGAGGTGCCTTCTCAGTATGGCCACCTCTGCAGATGGTACTGGGGGGAAAGCAGGGCAAGGGAGAGAGGAGGAGAAAAGGAATACATGGGTGTTTGTATGTCAAGTTCCTTTCATTCATTCCTCTCTCTTAGTTCAGTTAGTGGGGAGTATTCTTATAATGATTCTTTCATTTAACAACTTGTCTGCTTTGATGAAGACAAATCAACTTCAGCTTTTGGTGACCCCAAGGGAAATATTCTATATCTAGTGGTGAAACTGATTGATTTTATTAAAGCCACTGTGAAATCTCTGCTTCCTCAGGGAGAAAATTGTATTTTTCTTCACTGGAGATTGAATAAGAGAAAATAATCTGAATAAATATTATATGTCGTATTCAATTTACAAAAGATATAAATAGAGAGGGTGCAAAGATTGCCTTTAGATTTTAAGTTTGAAACCAAATGTATATACGTATGCATATATTTTACATATTCTTAGTGGAGAATACTAATACAATTGTAAAGATTTAATAACTGCATATCTTATCCACTCACAAATTAAAGTTTTTCTTACATTTAAACAACTTTTTCTGAATCAGGAGAAAGTGCTTTTGTTCTTTTTTCATTTGAGGAGCTAAAATTTAATCTTGAAAATTTGGCTATGCAGCTGATAACTGGCTTAACAAAATATCCCTCACTTCCTTCCTCTTCCACAAGGACCTCTCTGATACTTCAACTCAATCCTGCACAGCAGTTTTGAGTTCTAAAACAATTACAAAATTTTCTTGTCTCTAATTTAGATTCTCAGAAACTGCAAGAACTCAGGTATGCCAGAAAGGCATTTGAATGGACCAAGAAGTACAAGTACTGGCTTTATTCTATTCAAATTAGGGTAGCTGCATTACTGCTGATTCCTCCCCACCCCACACCCCACACCCCCTGGTAAAATC